TGTTAACCTTTTAGGCCCGACGCGCCACTATAGTTGCTCGCTCTTCTAGTAGCTCACTCGCTCATCGTTTGAATCAAATAATCGTCTTCGTATGCATTGTTTCACGCTTCTTTTGTCTTCGCATCGATTTACAACAGTCTACAGGGTGTCCCAAAAATGTCTCGCAATCCGGAAATGGCGGGTTCCTCGGATCGTTTGAAGCAACTTCTTCCTTTACAAAAATGTTCTCCGAGGCACCGTTCACGAGTTATTAACGAAAAACAGTGACCAATAAGAATCGAGTACGGCTGACGCGAGGCGGCCCAGCCAACCAGCGCGCGAAGCCCAGTTCCGCGCATTGGCTCGGTCGCCTCGCGCCAGCCGAGCTCGTCTCTCATTGGTCACTGTTTTTCGTTGATAACTCGTTAACGGTGCCTCGGAGAACATTTTTGTAAAGGAAAAAGTCGTTTCAAATGGCCCGAGGAACCCGCCACTTTGAGATTACGAGACATTTTTGGGACACCCTGTATATACAGTAGTACATATCAGACTCTGCTGTCCAGAGAAATAGCCTGGCGCAGAATTCAGCCGTACCTAAAAGGTTAATAAAACGCTAAACCAGCCGAATAAAAAGCGAAACGAGACTACGTCTGTCACGAGACACGTTTCTCGGGCACATTGTTCTTTTATGCGCGCTGGCTGCGCGCTTCGCGCCTCCCGGACACGCGCGTTTCGCCGTTAATTTTTAATCGCGTCGCTTAATTAAAAATTATACGTACGACGACGCGACGAAATGTTCAAACGTTCGCTGTTCACGCGGTTCCAAGTTCGAAGAATAACGACCGACCACTTGATAGCTATCAATATCTCTTTCAATACCAGTAATTTGTAAAGGTAATAAAATACACTTCGTAATAAATCGCAAGAATAACATGTAAATATAGAAATAGGTTAATGGTACCACGTACATTTATAGTCAGATAGTTGACCTTTCCATTGGTGCTGAATAGCAGTAGAATGGTTATTTAGTTTCTTTTGTACAGGGTGTTCCAAAATTATTGTACAATTCCTGCAGTCATTTGAAGTAACTTTTCCCTTAGCGAAAATGCGATCCGCGGCTTCATTTACGAGTTATTAACGAAAAACAGTGACCAATGAGAGGCGAGCTCAGCTGGCGCGAGGCGGCCGAGCCAATGAGCGGAACCGGTCTTCGACCGCTCGTTGGCTCGGCCGCCTCGCGCCTACTTGAGCTCGTCCCCCATTGGTCAGTGTTTTTCGCTAATAACTCGTAAACGAAGCCGCGGATTGCATTTTTGCTGAGGAGAAAGTTACTTCAAATAACCTCAGGAACCCCTCATTTCACGCTTGTACAATAATTTTATGACATCCTGTATATTCAAAGTAGAATCATTTCTCAGAGAACGCTTTTGTTACATCGACGCTGTCAGGATTAAGAAAGGGCTTGGAAGCATTAAAATGTCGACCATCACGTACCTAGTCACCCTTTGCGTTGCGCCCCCAAGAACTGACCCTTCTTCCTTCAGGCTTGGGTAAATCTGAAATAGACAAGCAGACTGTGTCAGAACATCTGTTTTCTTTTTTTTTAACGCTTTATCTACTGCTAGTTTTCCAATAGTACTTTTAATAGTTTAGCTCTGCTAAATCTACCAAACTGGTTAAAATTACTTGTTTCACATTTCTTGTTTTATAGATGCTGAGATTATAACGACTTTTTCATAGAAAATGATCGAATAAATTTCTTAATAAAAATTTGCGAAGGATCTAAATAATAAAATATAATAAGGTAGTATATAAAATAATAAAGTAGTAATCTAAATAATAAATAATAAAGTCTTCTCGTTGTTACGAAGCAGTACAAGTTAGTGACTTTTAGAGCTCGGTAATTTGAGTGTTCGATAGTTTATTTAAAGCTCGCAGCTAGATAGCGGATCTTTAAACAAACATAAATATCGACCAGCTATTTCACGGAAATAGCGGAGCCGAAAATAGACTTCCTCATCTTAATAATTTGATTGTATCCAGTGTCGAGCATCAATCGATAGAAATTTTTACTTTGATTAAATGATTGATGAAAACGATTAAAGGCCTTAATCGTCGAAAAATCGACGATTCGATTAATCGATTGATGAAATAATAAATTGAAGCAGACAATTAATAATTATTGATTCTTCAATCGAATTAGAAAGATATTTTGATGTAATTCCGTGAAAGAATTGTCTTTATCATGTTTATTACTTTATTATATTTCTTCCAAATTTCCTACTTCAGTTTAGTCGTTAATCGAAATAGAAAACTAACAATCAAGAGAAATTTAATCGTTAATTTCGATTTACGATCACATTTCTATTACAATCATTAATTCGGATCAACATTAGTTATTCGATCGTTGGTTAGCCGTCGATTAAATTTTTTCATTACAAAGATACAAAGACTTCAAGATCTATCAGACTGTTCGAAACACATTTCTCTTCGCGCTGGTCCGGAGAAAAATCCTGAAACGCCATAAATCTGCTGACTGTCCATTAAAAAAAAAACCGCTTGACAGACCCGTGGAAAAATTCCGCAGCGGAATAATCGCGCGGAGAACGAGGAACGAAACGCGGATTGGAACGAGGGGGATGAAACGCGGTGGGAATGATAGTCACTGGCCAATTCCGCTCGAATTTCGCGACAGCCACGCGGGTCCACTTTAAAATTTAAATTATCCGTGTCCGTCCGTCAATGCCACCTGTAAGTCCAATTTAATTTGAGCGTGTGCCCGGGGACTCGGTGCCGGCGGATTTAATTTTTCATGTTTGCCAGAGGGTGGGTCCCCGGACACGCCGGCACGCGTGAAAGAATCAATTTTTGTGGAACAATACTTGGAATTATATTCATATCGAGGCGGAGGCCGCGGCGATGCCGACCGGACTGAATATTTCAAAGTTCCCAGACCGCGGCCAATAACCGTATCTCTTACGCAACGTCGACGGTGAACTATCGAACTGCTTTTTGTCTTTATGGCGACCGATCAACTTTATGATCGGCTTCGAACACCCGGCCGTCCTCTCCTGACGCGCCCCCGCCGGCGATGTTTAATAAACGCGCCGATCGCTGCTCCGCGCCGCTGCCTACGCGCTTGCGTTTATTATCAATTTGTTCATTCCGCCGCCGTTGTTCGTTTATAACTGCGCCACGGATGTTTACGCGTTTACGCAAAACGCGGGGGAAAAGAACAAAACCCGAGCCTCCACGAATTTCATTATACTTCGCGCTCGAATCATCTGCGAATCCTTTTTTTTATCCCGTGACTGCAGACCTCGTTGTAAAATGGCAAATATTCTCGCGGGAATGCTCCGTTTCAAAGGCAAATATGTTAACGTCGTCATCTGCTACTTTGAACGAACCATTTTTCTTCCGGTTGCAGTTTTTCTGCCGTTCGCAAGTAATTTCTCCTGGAAATGTTCGGAGGTCGGAATCGAAACCGGCAGATCTGAGAATACTAAGTAGCGATTTTTCGAGTCTCGCGGATTGTTTCTTTTTTAGAACTCGTGGCAGTCGGCAAAAAAGGCAGCAGCCAGCATGCTGGTGTACATTAATATGAATACACAGTGATACTAGAATAAAAATGATGACTTAATCCTTTCGTTTCTAATTTCTTTACCACGATTCCAAGGCAATTCTGAGGCCACATGCCACGATTCGCAGGCACGATTCGAAAATGTTTAAAATGCAGCTTTGTCATATACCGCGTACAAAAAGATGCGCAAGAAAACATGGCACAAAAAATATTGCAAAAGAAATATCGTACAGAAAACACCACAGAAAAATTGAGAGTACCCAACGGAAGTAAGGGAAAATTTAACTCGAATATAAAACATCGTAATTATCGTTTTATAACGGACCGCGTTAAGTTGAAGCTGTTATTGTTATTATAACTCTTTTTTATTATCGTCGCGTTTTCTCAATTTGCTCGATCGTTAGCAAATGGGTGCACCAAAAATGGCTGACGAGCGTTGCTCTATAAAAATGACAACACCGAATCTACCTAAAATCTGTAAAATTTCCGTAACAATTTATGCTCGAATTAACGAATTTATTCCATCGATTCCTATAAAGAAAAAGTCTTCGTAATTTCGTGAATTTTAAAACGGAACGCATTTGGTCTCTTGACCAAATTGCTTCGGTCAAGTGTTGTGATAAAAGTTGCGTGAAATCTAAGTGGATGCAATTTCGTCATTTTTATGAGGCAATACGTGTTGCCAGTCGCTTCGCCGGTCGGCGGGTTAAGTGCGAATGCAAATAGCTACACGGTCGTTCCTTCGATTCTTCGCGATAGAAACATTAACTCCGCGGCGAGAAGTTCGGCGAGACCGCGTGTACAGGAAGCAGAACATAGTTGCGTCTGATCCCCGACGGTCTTGTCGAAGGATTGCGCAATCACCGGCACACATAGCCGGCGCGAGTTGCATAATTCCCTTTTGTGTGGCCGCGAGCACGAAAACGCTGTTACACACGCGGACCGTAGCCGGCACGGTACCGAGCCGCGTCGCTCTCCAGTCGACAGGATTTCAGCGTCCTCGCGATCGACCTTTAAATCATTTTCACCTTCGATTACGCCGCGAGAAACGTGACCGTTCTCTCTCTCTCTCTCTCGCTCTCTCTCGCTCTCGTTCTCTCTCTCTCTCTCGCTCTCTCTCTCTCTCTCTCTCTCTCTCTCTCTCTCTCTCTCTCTCCCTCTCCCTCTCCCTAGTCGGGGCGCGCTGAGGGACTTTAGCAGAGGCGAAACTTCGGCGTTCCCGGGAAACCAATTTTCTAAAGCCGAATTTACACCTTTCCGGTTTCGATGATCGTCGCGAATTGTTCAGTCATGCTGTGTGCGAATGGAGTAGGTCGGAAAGGATGGAAACGGTGGTCCGTTGTTTAATCATCTTTATCTATCTTATGTTGAAGCAGACTCGACTCATATTTTGCTGAAATTCACGAGTAACGTCGCAATTACGTGATACATAAGATCGCATCGAATTACGTAATATTACAGCAAATACCGGGATGAAAGAGACAAATGTATTGGCAACTAAGTAATTGCCGATTTGTTCGACGAAATAAAAAATTTTTTTACTTGGAACGAAGTTTAATCTGTAATGTATTTTCCATTTTGTTCGATGACCTTTTGCCGTCTCTCCGACAACTTGAAAATTCCACGCTCGTAGAAAGTCTGATCCTTTTCGGCCGAAAACTGAGTTAAGTGAGATTTTACAGCGTCGTCGTCGTTAAAAGTTTTACCACGAAGGAAGTTGTCCAGGGATCGAAATAAGTGGTGATCCGATGGCGCGAGATCAGGGCTATATGGCGGGTGCAACATCGATTCCCAACCAATATCCATCAATTTTTGCCGAGTGGACAAAGACGTGTGCGGCCTAGCATTGTCCTGCTGGAAAATGGCACCTTTACGATCGACCGATTCTGGTCGCTTTTCCTTGACCGCTGCATTCAATTTGTCCAGTTGCTAACGTTCATGGATAATAAAAAATAACATAATAATAATAATAATAATAATTTTATAATATAACATTTACGGATATCATGAAAATGGGAGTGAGAGACGTCTATAACTGAAATCGGCAATTACTTAGTTGCCAACCCAATAATTGTATCTCCTCTTCCCAAAATTGTCCATTTTTATGCGAAATCTGAGCGCAAATTAGGGAGAAATTACTGTACTCGTACACTTGGTAACATAATAATAATAATAAT